GCACTTAATGGATGGGTGAGACCACTGGACTAAGGCGCAGTTTAAGACACCATGACGATAACAACGATTTTCCAGAGAATTCAATGAAGATTGCGAAATATGCGTTTGTATCGGTACCATGCGTTGATGTGTGTGAGAAAAAACGATAAGTGCAATAACAGAGGCCAAAATGAATGGCTTTAGTGCTCTGCGAGAACCACGTTGTTTGATTCCTGCATTATTAAACATAGTGGTAGATACAATTAATCGGTCGAAACCGGAGAAATAATTGTCTCTGGATGGAAGTGCCAACCTCCATTTCCTTATTCTCAACAGATTTACAGAGTGCCACAAACACAAATACACTTCATTGCAGATGTAGTCACTTTACTTAAGTGCTATTAGAATAGGTTTTGAAAGAAAAGAAATGGGATTTGTGAAAAGATTTCATGAAATGCTCGCGTCCATTTGAGTTTTTTTTAAAGAAATGGATAAATGATTGCAAACAAACGCTAATTCAAATCCATTCAAGTATTTCCATATTCTCGAGCCACATAAGTTCAGTTTAACTTCCGTTGTAAGAATCTACTTATACTTAATTTAATCGCAATTGTATTTTTACAACAAATGGAATATGAATATCTTTCCTTACATCCAAAGATGCTATTAGCAGATTTCCATCTGAATGGGCACAAATTTAGATCTTGCAAATTGAATCAAGTAATAGCCTCCAGTAAGTAGATTTGGCGTGAAATTTTGTACAATGCTCTATTCCAGTTTCACCTGAATGCTACCGAAGGAATGTGGAGAATGCTATAGACGGCGAACATTTAATTCGCTTCAAATAGGCAATATTTACTGGAAACGCATTAACTGCAAAAACGCACCCGCATTTAAATGATTAGGTCAAATCGTGTGGTTATGGAACTTTTTCAATGCAAGACATTTAATACAACATGCAAGTGCAAAAAAGCATAGATATCGCAGATTTAACTTGAAAGTGTTCTCTTAAATATAAAAATTAGTTCTTCTTTCGTTTGGGACACAATTGTACAATTAAACACTTTCATGATTCTCGACTCATCTGAAAATATAAGGGTTCCGGTTAAAAAACTAGACAAAAAACAGTCATTGATTTTACCCAGCAGACAAAATCGCATTAAGCAAAAATATCCCAACATATGTCAACAATTTGAAACCAAATTGTCTGCACTATCCTCCCAAACGGTCATCCTAAAGGGTGATTTAATTTCATGCAGTGTCAGCGAGTTTTACCACCTTCCAAGAACATCAATGGCAGCCAGAAAGGCTTCTTGAGACCTATCAAACCAAAATTATTATAAACCTATAAAAAGTACAGCAAACAAAGAACAAATATCACTTGTTTTGCCAAGGCAGCAAAATAGGAAAACTGCATTAATTCAATGAATCTCTGGAAAATGATATGAGTATATTCAAGAAGGCTGTTTTCCCTCCAAAATTAAAAAGATCTATAAGGTGGAGAAAAGGATTAAAGACATTATATTAAACTGATTGTGTTCATGGGATTGTACGGTGTTTTAAATGAGGGCGTATCAACAGTTATAACTGTAGTAATGTTCGAGCAACATAGAACTTGTAACTTTTCTATTCCCGGTAACCCTCTAAATAGTATTACGCGATAAATTTATTCCACTGCCTTATGATCCCCGCACAGAGTTTCTGTGACCCTCATCATACCGCCCACAGGCAGTCTTCGGACTTTCCGCATCACGTTAAAGTAACTTTTGGACATTTACGTCTTATAGATGCCATCAGGGGCAGTCTATAAGCCACAGAACAGTCCGCGAACCCGCAAACAATATTCAGAAGCTTATATAATGTTCCTCAAACTAACACCACAATAATTAGTTAAGCTCTAGCAAAAGTTCCTCATCTGAAATGTACAAATAAATATAGGATCTGTAAATAAGAATTAAATTAAGCAATAAAAGCATTTTCCGAAAATCTAAATCGTTAGAATAAACAAATACGTTTTGGAAGACAAAAAATGAAATAATTTTGAAAGATTGTGAGTTTCCCAGAGATAATTTTCTTTTCTACTTGACCTACTTGGATTACATTAAATTTAATTTTTCCCGGGGCGTCTCGAAGGCATCTCAAGGGAATAATTTGATTGGCTTTGATGAAGTTAATTTGTGAATTTGGCAAGGCAGAAGGGAAAGCGAGTTTTGCATCATCGAATGAACAAGTCAATTATCAAAACAAGTGGAGAATTTTGTTGAATATACCGCATTTGTTTTTGATTTCGAAAATGAGCAACTCAAAGTGTTGATGTGAGCTGTCAGCCACAATACAAATGCTTGTGTAAAGTCACAGCGAAATTCAAGTAAAAAAAAACTAAATCAGTTTGAGAATAGCCTCAAAATTCACTAATTAGGAGCTGAGCACATAATTAAAAGCCACCCTCGAGAGAATATGCTAAAAACGATCACGCAAGGATTTGATGCAAGTAAGTTATCGAAGGAAAGGTTAAAAGATAATTTGAAGTTACTCACAGTCTAATTATTATTGTAAATCGCAGGCGAGAAACAAGGTTTGTACTTACTTGGAAAAGCCTTCTTTAGGCATTGTAACACAAAATATTTTGTACTTATTGTTTGCTCAAAATGCCATCAAAATGGGGGATTTATACAAGATCAAAAGATAAACGATACCGTGCAAATGGCCACTATTCTGCTTGGAATATCGGATATTGCAAATTTATGTTTTTTTTTTAATTTCGATATTCCTTCCCCTCGATTATGTGAAATAAAGT